GAACTTGCTGAGGGTACATTCAATTCCCTCAAATACGTGATTATTTAGGATCGTGCACAAAAGAGAGTGCAACCTTTGATGGAAAGTGCAGGAAGAGTTTCGGAAGTGGAGGTAATTACGTGCATTGGCTTATGGTTGTGCCAGAAAATACTGAAAACCACAAATGATGAGTGCTCTGCCTTACCCTTAATGGCAGTAGTGACTGATTTACCCATTAAAGCAATGTTGAGGAGTAACTCTTGTGATTATCTGGCACAGTGGGTCTGAGTGTTAATAATTTATAGTTTGTGTTACCAGTATTATTACATGGAATTTCTAGAAGGTGGATGCATAATAAAAAATATTTTCTTCTTGTTTTTGTAGGATGGAAAAGAGACCAGTCTGAAAAACTGCTCCATGGTGGACTTTGCTGTTGCCTGCTAGAATGTTCCTTATGAATGCTGCTCCTTTGGTAGCTCTTCAGACAAAATGGGAGTCCTTTGGACCAGCAAGGAACTGTAGATATCCCAGTTGCTTCTCTGACTCTGAAGGGGACATCGCTAGAACCTCCGTAAGTGCAAAAGTTCAGATGATCATAAACAACCTGCAAAGTCACGAGTCTCCCCTGGGTATGAACAATGAGTATGATTGTATTATGCAGAAGAAACAACAGGGAGAAAAGGGCAGTAGTAACCGAGTTGCATCTAGCACCACGCTGCTGCAGAAGCATCCTCAGTACACCAAGTGTGGATGCCCCGCTGATTCGGACCCTGAAGTGGAAGAAAACGTGGGGTTTGGGACTCTCCTGCTCGATTCTGATAGCGACGATTCTGTTGACCGAGGGATCGAGGAAGCCATTCAAGAGTACTTGAAAACAAAAAGCAAAAGTGAGCCAACATTGCAAAGGAATGCAGAGCGTGCTGAAAATATAGGCAGAGACAAAAGGTTTAAGAGAGAATTCTCACAGAGTGAAATGGCTGGTAACCTTCTCCCTGTGAAATTTAAGGCTGAGATGCTCTCTGAAGAGTACCTGTCCGACCACCTGGGCATTGGTAACAGGCTCCAGCCTGCTTCCCCTCAGAGCATCAGTAGCGATGACTCTTTTGAACAGAGCATACAAGCTGAAATAGTGCAGTTCTTGAATGAGAAGAAGCAGCAAGAAATTAGTAAATCCGTCATTGGGGAGGATAAAAAAGATTCACATGTGAGATCTATCCTAAAATGCAACAAAGAAACGACAAACAAAACAAACTGTGGTGCTCTAAAGCAAGGTTGTAACCCGCTCCTCTTGAGACACCATCCCGAGCTGCAGAAAACCAGCACGCAGTCCAAGTGTTTGCAGTCTAAAATCCAAGAAGAGCCCAGTGATTTCAGCCAAGTGAACCAAGCGTATCTAGAGATGGCCACTGCCAGCCAGCCTTGGTTAGTGCAGCAAAATGAAGAAAGCAGAGCTAATTACTGGGGGACGAGAGGAGCACTCATCAACGAGAGCGTACACGCGTCTGACTCGAGTAGCGACGATGGCATTGAAGAAGCCATTCAGCTTTATCAGCTGGAGAAGATCAGGAGGGAGGCAGCTCATGCAACAGACTGTGTCCCTTTGCAGAGGGAGCAATTTGATGCAAAGGGTATGGCAGACATTTCTGCCAGCCTGACCATTAGCTCAACAAAAAGTGCCTCACCTGAAATCCATAAAAGCCCTATAAGCAACAAGAGAAAAGAAATTAATTCCAAGTCAACAGAATTAGAAAGCACCAGCACTGAATTGAACAAGCTGTTTAAACCACTGAAAAAAGCCAGACATTTTGCACCTCCAGAAAACAAGATTGCTGCTTGCGAGCTCACGTTGCAGGCCTCTTGCAGAGCAGACACATCTGCAGAACTGATGTGTGCGGAAGCTATCCTTGATATTTCCAAAACAATCATGCCATCCCAAATGGGAAGTGACAACAAATCACTCGCTGCTGCAGACTCTTTCTTTTCTCCCCAGCTTCTCTCGTCCTCCCGTTGTGACAGCGACAGCAGCCTTGTGGACAGCGATGATAGCATAGAGCAAGAAATCAGGGCTTTTTTGGCTCTGAAAGCGCAGTCGGAAAGCCTTGGAACAAAGCCGCCCAGCCTGTCACACTCAATCCAGATGCCTTTGCCTTCTGATCAAAACAGCCTCACTGGTACCCTTGGGCCTTCTCTTCCCAAAACCCTGAAGCTGTCACTGAGTCGTAGAAAGAGACTTAAAAGGGAAGATAGAATAGCGAAACAAGGGGCATCAAAACCACCTGAGCAGCTGGAGACAGGACTTTTCCAGCCAGATAATTATCCAAAATTTCCTGTGCTCCGAGAGGGGTGTGCCCTGAGCAGCCCTGCAGAGCCCTGTGATGCTCGAAGGCTCAGCAGGCAGCAGCAGCCGATGTCTTCCAAATTACCCGGATCTGTTGGCAGATGTGTGGCCTTGGACGCTGTAAACCCTTTCGTGCAGGTTCCAAGTAGCGCAGGACAGCTCATGAAAAGTAGCATCCAGACTGGAGAGAGGGATGGCTCGGATGAGGAGAGCAGTTCTCTCGATAGTGATGAGGACCTCGATAGCGCTATCAAGGACCTCCTGCGGTCTAAAAGGAAATTAAAGAAGAAGTCCAAGGATCAGAAATCTCATTACAAGAAGAGAGTACGGTTTAGCAAGGCAGAAACTCAGCTGCTAGATGAATTTGGTAGCCTCCAACAAAACGAGTGGAAATGTAAAAATCCTGTGCTACTGAAAAGCTGCCTTTCAAAACCCAGAAAGGCTGTGAAAGAGAATGCAGCCCGAAATCCTCCAGACAACATCAATGTCAAATTTGCCAGTGAAAAACCAGAAGCCATGAAGAACTTAGAGTTTAACTTACAGCCTAAAAAAGAATCTAAACCTAAACCAATTTCCAACCAGAATAACCTGCAGGGAGCTAAAAATAAAAGATGTGCTTTCACAGCTGCATCAGACGCTGATGACAGCAGCTCAGTGGACAGCGATGACAGCATCGAACAAGAGATCAGGAAGTTTTTGGCAGAAAAGGCTAAAGACTCTGCAGGCAATTCAGAGATGCAAAAAGATGATGCAACTCTAGACCTACTGAGAGTGACCAAACAAACTGCCCATAAGGGAAAAGCAAAGCCACAGCCGGTGGAAAATGAGATTGACCTCATGCTGGGTCAGGATAAAAAGCCTGAGGTGTCTCAGCAAACTGATGAGTTGAAGAACTCGCAGAAAATGGAAGGGAAAAGTGCAATTTTACACGGCAGTGGGAAATCTGCTTCCTCTGCAGAGGTTGCTCATCTTCATGCTCCGGGGCAGTCGAAAGCGAAGCAAGGAGTAGGGGAGGTTAAAGGTGCTGCTGGTGGTGAGTTGTCTGGGAACGCGCCAGGTAAAAGGGATGTCCCTAATACAGAGCCTGCGCAGAAAACACTTCCTCCTAAACCTAGCAAAAATGAAGGCTGTAAATTACGAAAAGTAATTCATGCAAATTCTCGATCGAAAAGAAAGAATACCTTTCACCTGAAAATTTCGAGTAAATTTATCGCAGGGCTAAAATACGCTCGGGACAGGAAGAAATCCATTCTTTTGAACAAAAGGCAGAAAGTGGAGCGTTCGCTTGCTCAGAGCAGTGCGTTAGGAACAGAGGTGGCTTCCCAGGACACAGACACAGTAAACCAGGGAAGAGGAGCCCCCTTGACAAAAGGTGAATTTAATGGGAAGAGTACAACAGCAATAAAAGAAGCCAATTCTTCCCAAAACTTCGCGGTGGATGCGCCAAGTCCCCGTGTAGCAGAAACCTGTGAGAAACTGGAGACTGCTGCTTTGTGCATCAAAGAGGAAGGCGAGGGTTGCAGAAAGACAGATGCTTCAGGGCAGTTGGATGCACACTCGAATCTCCCTTCACAGGAACGGAGCACGGCAGCAGTAAAACTGGATAAGGTTTGCAGAGGAACATCCAAATCTGAGCACATGCAGATGTGGATGGAGGAAGGAGATAGCCACAAAGGCAGCTGGGCTGATTCAAAAGGTCCCTCACGCCCCGAACACAGTGTGGCAGTGGTAAAAGCAGATAAAGTTAGCAGACACGTGTCTCAACAGGGTTTACATGAAGTCAGTAAGGGAGAGGATAGCCCGCAGGACAGGAGGCCAGATCCAGGCTTAGGTTGCCCACTGCGGGAACAAAATGTGACAGCGGTAGCAAAGGATAAAACCCGTGGAGAAGCAGGCACAAATAACAGCGTGCAGATGGGCAGTAAGAAGGAAGAAGTTATCTGCCAGGACAGTGACAGGCAGGATGAAATTCAGGTACCCAGCTCTGGTTTGCAAGGAAAAATACCTGTGCCACAGGATAGGGAAACTGCTTGTGAAGTGGACCAAGGACAGGAAGTTTTAGACAAAACCTGTGCAAAATTTACTGGCATAGCCGCAGGGGACTGCCCAGATCCCTTCTTGAAAAGAAAGGTTTGAAATATGTAAGTACACTTTTTTTTTTTTACAGTAACAGTCTTTTTAGAAAATAACTATCAGTGTAATTACCTTGACAAAACTTGAGGGGTGAAAGGAGAGACAGCGGGATATGCCATCTGTATATCATATACACACTAATGTGAAAAATGCTTCTCTTTAACAGGGATCTCATGGATAAGCATACGTAGTTTTTGTAGACTTTTGTAAATTATTTGAAGTGCTCTGAGGAAATATTTTTTATAATGATTTTTAGGGCTTGCGTTACTACAGGGTGCTGTAGTGACTGTAGATAAGATACTGGCTAATCATGCTTTAAATTATGAGGCCTCTAATCATATCTCTAAAGGAAACCTGTTTGCGCACAGAATAGATTTAGCCATCAGTTCAAGAGATCCTAGGAAAACACAGCCTTTGATAGCGATGCTGTGCTTTTGAAGCAGATTATCTGCTATCTCTTCACACCCGAGCTGCCTTAGGACAATCCTATGCAGTGGGTTTTACTGGGGCCTCCTACCCCGAGGTCCGGTGGGCGGATTCGGTGAGCAGAAATCCAGTGGAGTCAGCACAGCCGTGGAGATTCATCCTTGAAGATGCAAATTCAGGTGAATAAAGCGAATCGCTCCGTCCTTGCCTACCTTTTGGATTCCCAAAACCTCCTGCTGGCAGATGATCCCGAGCACAATTGCATTTCAGGAAAAGTGAAGGAGCGTCTGTTCAGACAACCCAGTTTCTGTGGATTTTGCTACATGTACATACTGTAAATCGTTTCACAAGGCTGAAACGATCCCTCGTGGCAATTTTGCTGGCCTGCAGTTACCCAGAGGTGGCTTTTGGTTTCCTGAATGAACTTTCTTGACTTGAGTGCCCTTACTTTCCTTTTACAAAAGTGGTTTCGAAAACGTTGCATTTCTGTGAACTTTGATTTTCACGAACAATTCTTGTGCAATAGAACAACGCTGGGGTTGCTGTAGGGAGGCCCTGGTGTAAACGCCAAGGATATTTTCAGCACTGTTCTTTCATACCGGTAGCGCTTTCTCTGCCTCCGTTCCCAGCAGTCAGAATAAAGCGCTTTTTCACTATTATCTTTTTATTTGTACTAACTCTAAATGGGATTGAGGTAGCACATTCATACCACAAGAGAAGTGCCCACACACTGATTTCACTGACAGATCCCCCAAAAGTGTGAAGTTAAGCTGTTGGCTGGTTCTTTCCTTTCCATTTGTGTGTAACGAAGTCCTTTGAGCAGTTTGTTCTTACACCTTGTCCCTGTGAACCGATGCAATACTCTCTTTATCCAGTCTTCTACAGAATTCTCTCAGCCAAACCGCTCAGTGTCGCTTTGTTTTGCAGTTTTCTTGTTGCAAAATGGAGCAAAACGAGCCCGGAGCGGATCCAGTAACGTGTGGTGTGGTCGCATTTGCAAAATATTGGCAAATCTACGGCGTAGCGTAGAGTAGAAGTAACTGTGGAGTGTAGAGAAATGAACAGCATCCTTTGTGTGTTTGTATTGTTGTGCAGTCACATTTTAAACGTGTTTCTAGTGGTCGCTTGACATTTCTTACTCTCCAGCCGCCTTTTTATAGTCCTCGGGTTGGTTGGTTGGTTTGTTGAAGAAACCAAGTTGATAAATCATCTCATTTTTGTGGTAGGATTCCTTGGAAAAGTGTTTCTTACTTAGTTTCCGTGCCTGCAGTCAGTGTCCACAGGCACGGGTTTTTGTCTGCCTTGATTCAGTTGCAGGATTTGGAATAGGAAAATAGGCTGGTATTTTAAAATAGAAGTTTTCCGAGTACCTTGCTTTAAAAGGATTAAACTGTATACTTGATTTTAATAGAGGTGATGGAAGCACTGTGTGTAAAATAAGCTGAATGTTTCTCCTCAAAATTTCCAGTAAATCAACGTGAAGATTTAAAAGCTGTCTCGTGCCCCTGTCGCTGTGTCTGTGCTCTCAATGCTCCTCGTGAACTGCTCGGTTGAGCTGCAATCCCTGTCGCCCCGTGCTTTAAATAAAACCAGATTTCAAACAGCACTTTTTTTTTTAATTGATAAACTTGATTTGTATATAGGAAATGGTGTACATTGCTAAGTTTATAATGTTTAATAAATGGGGTTCTGCCCATGGACGTGAAACCAGAGTGCTCCCATGGTTTGTCTCGTCATCTTTAGTATTTTTGTGTTCTCTTTTTCTTCCCCTCCTGGCTGTAATCAGAAGATACAACCAGAAGATTCACTTAGCTTTTGCCAGTGACATCTGGGGGTGGAGGCTGTCACCCTCGACGAGAATTGCAGCGTTTGCAATAGCCAAACCTGGAAACAGGTGCTGGGTTCCCCTGTGTGACCCTAAATCCAGATGTTATAAAGATGTGGCTGTTTAAGGGAATGTTCTTAATAACAGCAAAAAAAGAACAAACAAAAAAGAAGAAGAATGTACAAAGTGCACAGGCAAAAGAAGCTGTGGGTGTACCCGGAAGCCAGAATCACACTTGCGTTTTAGCAAAACCCTACCAGCAGATTTCTTTCGTGGCATTTTTGGTCGAAAGCGCCGGCCCCTCTCCAGCAGCAGCAGAGGTGTTGGCAAAAGGGGTTCCTTGGCTTTGAGGCGGTTCGGCAGGTGAGATCTGTGGTTGGAAAGCACTCGGTGTGTCTCACTCAGCACAAAACTTGCTAATTTGGGTGATGATTTTCTGTGCTTCAGGAAGGGCCATCCTCAAGGATCCTCAGGGGGCCGCAAGTACGTCCTTAACTCTTAACAAAAACTTCGTCGCTGCTGTTTTCAGAACACGTGTTCGGATGTGTAGCTGCCTTTTATACAAGGCAAGAACTCCCCGCTTCTGCTGCCATTTCTTTTATTAATGGATGTGCTTTTTTAATCTTTCAAGCCTTTAAGAGCTGAGTTTGGCTTGGCTTGGTAGTACAGCCTCACATAATTTCATCTGCTAACGTGAAAGTCTCATTTTCAAAATACAGAGTAGAAGGAAGCCGTTTCAGGAGGATTCTCTGTGGTAAAATGTGTCATCTTCAGGATAATAAATTGATTTTTTTAATTTAAAAAAAAGGGGTTTCAGTTTAAGGTTAGAACAAAAAAGGGAAGAAATTGAGGCAAGGAAGAGAAGAGGTGGGTGGCTTTAGATGAAGTATGAAAACAGCTAGAAAATGTGTGATGAAAGCCACTTTATATTTTTAAGAGGTGATCTTAGCCCTAAATTATTCCACCTGCAGAAAAATCCGTGTATAAAAAGAAATGTGAAATTGTCACAACTGTTTGTATTAATGTAGTGCTTTGTGTTATTTTTTATTTCAGGAGCAGAAAGGGAAGTTATGAGGAGCTCAAGGTATTGTTTAGAGTATAATAGAAGAATAGCAGTGAATTAAAGAGGGTTGCTTATTTATTTTCATATCTTAAACATTTAAAACAGTAACTTTCCAGGCCTTGTATGTTTACTTGTTTAAATGTATTGATGGGTTTTCAGCAAAGCTGAATTTAGCCAGCGGTTCTTCTGGTCCAGAGAACCAAATGCAGGGCAGTGGGAACTGGAACTGTTTGGTAGGTGTGACTGAGATCTTGCCGGCAGGTTCAGGGTCGTGCGGCTGCGCTGAATATTTTAATGTTTGAATGTTTAAAAAAAAAAGCACAAGTAGAGGCCTGCTCTGTTTTGGACTTCACAATTTTGCGTAGTGACATTATTAACTAAACAGAACAGCTCTGCCTTGCAAGTGTGGTGAAGTGTATCGGTTTGCCACACTGCTGTCAGTTTATAAGACTCTAAAAGTGGCAGACACAGGGAGTATTTCTGACATGTGAAGAGTATCATTTGCAGTGCTACTTGGACATATTCTTACACAATTTTTGTAGGTTTTATTTTTTAGCAAACAGCTAGGGTAGTAAGCTCATTTTTAATGTATACTACGACTATGCTTTACCTGTGAGGTAGGACCGTTTCTCATCCAGAAACAGGCAGATTCGTTTCTCTTCAAGCTCAGTTTGTAAGGAAGATATGGTAAGGTGTTGCTTTTAGTGCAGTCACTGTCTCAATATTGCAGTTTCACTGGTTGTGTAACTACAGTTGTTACAATAAAAGTTAAGAAAACGTCTTCTTTTTGATTAGTTGTCTTTATTTGAATTATTTCTTAACACATTGTAGTAGAGAGGTAAGAAAGTTGAACACACTTTCTACAAATAATTTTGGTTATTCCTTTAATAGGATAGAAACCGTTTAAAAGTCTTCATTTTTAATGATACATGGAACTTAAGTCAGGAGTTTAAAGGACCATTAGTGACAACAAAACTCATACACACATCAGTTTGGATTTGGGGGGGTTATTGTTAGAAATGTCCTCTCTTTAACCTGCTGTTGTAGCCATTAATCGCTATTTCCTGCGTTCATTAGAGAAATACTCATTAAATCCTGACTTAGCAACAGATTTAGGGCAAGGTCAGTGCTGCTGGTTGTTTGCTTAGGTTTTTGGGTTTGATTTGTGACGGTTTTTTAAATCTAGGCGGTAAACCGAAGTGGTTTCATGCTGTAGTGACTGCTGCAGCTCTAACAGTATGAGGGGCCGCTGGATTTGTAGCTGGGGCGGAAGTTGAGGTGGTCGTAGGCGGTGATGAAGTTGTCCAGGCCAGTGACGTGGCTCTTCTCCAGGGCGGTGTTGAGCCCATTATCCCTGTACATGCCATGCTTCCCCAGGGTATCCGAAAACACATGCGAGGTGACATGGAAAGAGGTCTGTGAGAGCGAGAAAAGAGGAGGAACATGTTTCCAATCCAACATCAGTAGCACCCTCCATGTGCACAGGTTTGGATGCAATGATAAGGGATCTTTAACTTCATCTGCTTTGGGGAGTTCAGCACCAGGGGCTGTTGCAAAGCCCAAAACTTTGAGGTGCTGCTTCCTCAGCTAAACTGAGGAAGTGTGGCCTGGATGA